TGGCTACGAGCGGCTCGAAGAGCTTGCAAAAGTCCAACTGAAATGCATGCGGGACTTCCTCTTTGCAGACGATGCAGCCATTGTTGCCCACTCTGCTGAAGACCTCCAACAACTCATGAATCGTTTCAGCAAGGCCTGCCAAGACTTTGGACTAACAATCAGCCTGAAGAAAACACAAGTCATGGGCCAGGGTGTGGACTTACCTCCCTCTATTACCATCTCCACACAAGAATTGGAGATTTTTGGCTATGCTAGTTAGGAACTATGGGAGGTATGGTAGAAAGCATCTGGAGGATAGCAGGTTGCCTGCATTCCCTGAGTACTTGTTTCCTACATCCATTATCATGTACAATGAGTCTTTTCCTGTTTTTCCTGGTGGTGTTCAGATATATAACCCTTCAACTTTTTCAAGGGACAGAAGAAATTTTCATACTGCATGTTAGCAATGGCTTACATTTTCAGTTGGAGATTAGGACTTCCTGAACAGTGTTCCTACACCTCCCTCTTCACTCCAACATTAAAGAAGAAGGGCAAGGTACAGAAACTGAGCAGAACTGTCAGTCTTCCTTCTCCACATGAAATGAGAATTCCCATGAGACAAGACCACCAGTTATAAATGAAGAGACTGGAAACTTTCTCTCTGCCTGATCTTCTCTATAGGGTTGTTATATGCGGTGAAAATTTTCATTTCCTTGAAGAAAAGACAGGACACCATGCATCAAATGAACACCATAGATACACATATCTGTATGGAAACACACATGTAAAACATGGCTGTTCCTTTTCTTGTATGTATCATGTGTAAAGCCTTAACATAGGATTTGAAATTTGTACTGACATGAACATCTCTGTGTAGTGGAGTTATAATTAATTACTTGATACATGGAGTTATCAGTCACAGATGCTATTCAAAACAAGCATTAAGTAGTAGCATCTTTTGAAATGCACATATGGCCACTTTTTAAAGTATAAGAACAGCTAATGGCTCTTGATCAGCTTTTCCCAGCCTTGGACTCTTCCATTCCCCTTAGCCAGCTGTGTTGATTGAGGACAGTGGGAACTACAGTCCAACATAAGTTGCCAAAGGTTGCTCTGAGCAACGAGAATTCATAGAATCATAGAATCACAAAGTTGGAAGGGGCCTATAAAACCATTGATCCTACCGCCTGCTCAATGCAGGAATACAAATCAAAGGATATCTGCCAGGTAGTTTTCTAAATTTCTCTCCAGTGCCTCCAGTGTTGGAGCACTCAAGCCTCCTGAGGTAATTGGTCCTATTGCTGTACTGCTCTAACAGGTAGGATGTTAAGAGATGAGATCCCTCTTTATGAGAGCCTTTCAGGTATTTAAGAAGTGCTACACTTCCCCTCAGTCTTCTTTTCTCAAGGCTAAACATGCCCAGTTCTTTCAGTCTTTCCTCACAGGGCTTGGTTTCCAGCCCCCTGATCATCTTTGTTGGCCTCCTCTGAAATTGTTCCAATTTATTGGCATTCTTCTTGAAGTGTGGTGTCCAGAACTGGACACAGTACTCATGATGAGGCCTAACTAGTGCTGAATAGAGGGGAAATAGTACCTCATAGAATTTGGAGACTATACTTGCTAATGCATCTAAAGATAGTGTCTGACTTTTTTGTAACCACATCACACTTTTGACTCATATACTGTACAACTTTTGATCTACAATGACTCCAGGATCCTTCTCACTTGTAATATTTCGCTTGTAGGATTGCTGAGCCAGGTATCCCCCATATTGTAACTGTGTGTTTGGTTCCTTTTCTTAGGTGCAGTTCTTTGCAAGTATGCCTATTAAATCTCATTCTGTGATTTTCAGCCCAGGTCTGAAGCCCATCTGGAGAATTCTGAATTTTGTTTCTGTCTTGCAGGGTGTTAGCTATTCCACCAAAGTTTGTGTCACCTGCAAATTTGATTAGCATTCCCTATTCCCTGGTCATTAATAAAAACACTGAATAGCACTGGGCCCAGGACTAAGCTCTGGGGTACCCTACTTGTTACCTCCTCTGAGTCTGAGAAAGAGCCATTAATCATCAACCTCTGAGTATGATTCTGTAGCCAACTGTGTATCCACCTGGCAGTTCTTATATTGAGCCCACACCTAGTTAACTTCCTAATCAAAATATATTGGGGCACTTTGTCAAAAGCTTTGCTGATGTCAAGATATACTATGTCTACAGCATTCCTCCTGTCTATCAGACAGGTTACCTGATCAAAAAATGAGACCAGATTAGTCAGGGAGGATTTGTTCTTGATAAATCCATGTTGGCTTCTAATTATTGCTGCTTTGTTTTCTAGGTGTTTGCATAGTGACCACAATTCTTACATACTGAAATAACACATAGACACATCAAAAATAGTTGTGCCCTGTGGTGTCCTGTGTAGTGTTTGGAGCATAAGACAGCAGAAAATGTTCTTCTTAGCATACAAGAGTCTATCTTTTCTGAATTGAGAAGAGGATTTCCTGTTTTATGGACTGTTGACTATCCCCTCATGGAAAGGAATAGATAAAATGCCCTTGCCAGAAACTCCAGCTCAGTCATGTCTCAGTGATCAAGAAACACCACCATGCCAGACCTAGCAACACTTTGCCTGCTGGCCTGTGAGGATTAATTAAATTATAATCGGACATTTTAATGAAAGGACTTTGGAGGCTGTTGTCTTGGCAACAATTTTAAACAGCTGGTTTAATGATGGGTGGAGAAGGGGATTGCTAGAAAAGCCAGGCTTAGAGACAGAGCTGTCTGCTTCCTTACAAGTCACTAACAGAGCAGAGATGTTGTGGAGCTTTTGGAATAAGTCCAGTAGATCTGTGTGTGAGATCAACTGACAGACAAAAAAAAATGTTCAGATTCTCTTCAATCCTCATCTATCCCTCTCCAACCTTTACTGGAAGCTAACCCTTCAGCACAATGTCCTTTTCATGCTTGAGAGTCAATGCAGCAATTAGAAATAGAGACACTGAGCAGCAAGATGGGACAATGGCAACTGCTAGGCATGAGGCTGGAGCAGATGGCTTCTTTGTGATGAGCTATCCTCCCTTCAATAACTGAGCCACCATCCTCATCCTTGTGGCAAGGTGGCCCATGCATGTGTTTGGAAGCACTCCATCATGTTCAGTCATTTCTTGGCCAGCATGTAACAGCGTCTCTGTCAGCAAGAGCCACTGGGCCATCAGGAAGCTTTATGGAGTTGTTAGTTCACACGGCTGGTCTAATCTCTGAGCCTTATGGTTGCCAATGTTTGCAGCTTGGTGTTATGTAAACACTGTGCTATAATCAAATGGCTACTCAAATATGCAAATCCTGGTAGAGGAAAATACAATGTAAATTGTTTGTTTATCCCTCCCCCTCTCTTCCCCAAGGCCATCAATTATTAACATTTGGAAACAGACCAGGATGTGCTCATGCGGTTGTGTTCCCACTGCATGCAGTCGGGTCTGTTACAATCTGAGCTGAGTTTTCCTGCAGGGGGAGGGATTTGCATAATCAGCTCTAAAATATCACCAGTACCAGCTCACAAATACAAAACTAGCCAAATGCACACTTCATTTGTTTATCTGCTGAAAGCTCTGTTTTCTATACTGGAATCAATAACTTTTAGAAACAGATGAGATGCCCCGTATTACAAGGAGGAGACTCAATAATGGTTTCTTTTATTTTGGAATCTATATCAGAACACTGAGTCTGGTGTTTGCGGCAAATAATCCAGATAGCACACTTCATGATGACAAAAATGTCACAAAAAAACTAAACAGCTGGTAATTTGCCACCTGAGTAATACCCCAAAATCATCTGCCCAAATGAGAAGCCTCATGAATATTGATGCCAATCCCATCCTCAATTCCATGATCAAAATCCTATGTTCAACTCTGATTGAAGACAAAAGCTTAGTTGCAGGGTTGATTATCCTTCATCAAGGATATGCTACCTCAGACTCAAACACAAGACAAACAAGACCCAGCGCTCCTTCACTTTAAAAAAGAAAAGAAAATTCCACTGAATGGAATAGGTGAAATTTGGCAGAAAGGTAAATATCCTTTCTGATACACTAATTGTTGGTGTAAAAGGAAAATTTTATAGATGGACATTGATTCGTGGTGCTCCCACCTACAGCTTGTGGCAGTTAACTACGTGTCTAATTTTATCGGCAACAGTCCTCTTCTGAATACATTGCATTGTATTCTCTTTAAAATGTGGGGGCTATTTCAAAATCTGTTTTTCTGCATAGAAATAAGCATTACATTGAAAAAAATGCTAAATCAAAAGAGTGCTTCCCTCCCACATTTTCCCCAGTACATTTATATGGCCCACAAGTTGTCTGTTTTTCTAGCTCATTAAATTCCAGGGATTAAGAGTACAGTATTTTCACAAAAAAACACAAAACTATATTTCAATTTTCATATTCTAACTGAAAGGGGGGGGGAATGTCATAATCAAGCAATGTATTCTGTTGCTTTCTTCCAACATTTAGAAGTGACATACTAGCCTTTTCACTTAGACTGCATGAAGAATGAAGGAGTTGGAGAGATAGAAAAAACATTATCTCTCTTGTTTCAGCCTTTATATGTTTATTAGTTATAATGTATATACATAATGTCCAATCTGGGAAAAGAAAGGAAGTGCCCTCAATAGTGCTGGGAGCCTATGCAGACAAAAGAGTCAGTGTGCATGCAGGTTCTGTGTCCTTAAAGCCAGTGAGGACATTAGTGTGGTTACTTTGGCCCTAATTCTGCTCCCACCTGGTCTTTGTATGTACATTTGATCATGGAAAAAGATCCCCACTGAAGACATTCCAAACATAATTTGTGAAAAAGCTCACATGTTTCAATTTCTTCGCACTACTCATTATTATGTTATAATTCGTTTCTGGAGTGCTGGGTTTGATTGTAGTTTTCCTTTTATAGCCACCTAGTTAATATCTTGCTGTATTTTTCTAAATATTTAACAACAGTGATTTAACCTGTAGTATATCTGTCTTTATTCCAGATCCGAGCAGATGGGCCTCCTCATGGTGGCATTCAATATGAAATGATGCCAGTTTTCAAGGATGGGAGTCCTATCCTTCGTGACATGGCCTTCTCCACAGATCACAACTACATCTATGTCATGTCAGAAAGACAGGTAAGTCATGCTCTTTGATCCAAGTAACTTTTAAATTCCCTTCTATTGTAGTAGAAAAGCACTGTGTACCCAAAAGTGTGCTTAGCATTTGTTTCAGGTATGGATTGTGCCAAAGGAGGCTTTCTTCTTATTTGGCGCTGGCCAGAGAAAATCATCTGTGCACCCAGGAAAGAGGTTTCCTTCTTGTCAGCACACTATTGTCTTAAAGAAATGGAAATTGGATACAGCCAATATAAATGAAATATGGCTTGGGGATTTGGAGTTTAGACCGCAAGCGCAGCCTGCCACATTGAACAGAAGCCTTATCCAGGCATTCCTTTCCCTATGTTTGGCTGTATGCTACCTTTGCATAAAATTGTCTTTTATTGTTTTTCCTTTTTTATATTTCAGGGTTATATATGCGAGAAACAGAGTTTTAAGAAGTCATGAAATTGCACGTTGTGAAATAGTATGGTTCGAAAGGCTATTATAATGTGTGCTTCCAGCAGAAGGTGTTCAAGAAAGTTTGGGATATATTGTTTTGGTTACATGTTTGTTTTATTCTGCAAGCCCTGATAGGCACAGCGAACATTCTGAAAGCTTGGCCTTCCCTTTGTTCATAGTAAAACAGGCATAACCTCTGTTTTATCTAAGCCTACAACAAACTGCCCCAAAATTCAACTGAATCTTGTCCTCTGCCTGATTATTATCATGACAGCAGGGTACTTCAGAGAAGAATGATGCCACTATTACATTAATCTGCTATTTTTTCTCATGATCAGGCTCGGTATATCTTTATTGTTTTCCATGAAGGATAATTTCTCTTATAATTCTTACTGTTTCCTACTGACCCTTCTGCATTTTAATTCATAAAGTACTTTTCTCAGTGCTTCTCATTTATCACATTTATGCTGCCTTGATTGGGAATTCATATGGGCAGTGATCCACAAACTACTTCAGCAAGTGTACTGCCTCAGTCACCCTCCGGGCAGCAGTTTCTTAGAGACACTGGTAGTGGTCGAAATTCATGAGTTTAGGAGAAAGAAAACTGATGAGCCCATGCAGAGTTGAGTTACTGCTTCTGAAGCTTGGGCAGGTCTTGGATTCCCTAATACTGACTCTCTGCATCACCTTTGTTCTGAGTCTCTTTATGAGTATGATAAACTGACCTTCTGACAAAGGTACCAGATTGTATCCAACAACACCAAAATTATTATGATGGAAATTTGTAGTCTTTGCAGTTCTGGAGTCTCCTTCCATATGAGCCTACCCGGCAGTTAAGATCTAGCCAGGGGGCCCTTTT